TATATATATATATATATATAAATAGAAATTAAGTTTAAATAAAAAAATATTTTTTGTAATGTACCCCGTGCATCGCACAGGTATCAACACTAGTATATATAAGTATATAACCAAACATGCATGCGGGTGGAAATTTAGCTTTACACTTTTTTTGTCCCTCTATTTTTTATAAAAAGATGCAATTTTAATTCAATAATTTTTTGTCATTTATTACCTTCGATCATTACATATTTTTGGAGTTTCATTTTGGCTCAATCTATCTATATATATATATATATAATTGCTGGCTAATAGCATTTAATAAAATATTTAATAAAACTTCATTTCGATTTCCCTCCAAAAACCATTACAAACTTTATCATTTATATATCTCTCTCTCTATTTAATTACTAATAATAAATTTAATAATATTAATTATTGTTTACCATCTTTTTATGTTACAATCTCTAATTATTATTATTATTATTATTATTATTATTATTATTAATCCACCATATTTCATTAATGCTAAAATATTTCATTGCACTTTTTTTAGGGTTAATTAAGACAAAAAACCGTTACGTTTTAAATTAACGGAGTAAATTATACTATTTTATTATATCATATAATAGTTATTATTAAAACTAATAACTATAGTTTACACTGAATGAAACATGAAAGTTACATAAACATAAAAAATTATTGTAAACTTTTTGCTAAAGTTATTTATTTCTAAAATTAATATTATATTTTTTTTATCTTATTTAGCGATTGTATTTTTAAATAAGTTAATTTATTTTAATGTTATAGTAAAATTCCTTAAAATCACATAATCAAATGTTATAATCAAGCTAATAAATTGGTGATCTCTCAAAATTACATTATTTATTATATTTTATGTAATTAATATAGTGGTTCATATGCAATCAAATAGTTATGTACTATTTATTTTAACCAATGATCAAATTTTAAAACATAATATCATTATCTAATTTATATTTTTATTATTATATGCATAAATATAACTTATAATACTCAATGTGTAAAATATAATATCGTTATATAACTTATAATTTTTATACTATATGCATAAATGTAATAATATTCTATTTACATTGTGCAAATGCATATGGTCGAATATTAGTATATAGTAATTTAGGGGGTCGGAATCTATGTTTGTATTGTCTTCATTTACAAGTAAAGTTGGGTGCTTTATTAGGGTTAGTTTTCCTTTTTTCTTCATCGGCGTGATGCATTTGAAGATAAAATTGGATTCTATTGTTGATTTTTTTCAACACTTTTCGGGCCTTTGATGTTGAAAACAAGTGGTGAAGGGACAAATGAATCCAAACGTATTTTTTTCCCCTTTATATATATATTATAATTCGTTGATTAATTTTGCACATGAAATCAGCAGTTACATGTATAATAAGACCTTGCCAACTAAAATGAAAAAGGAACAAGAACTGGAATTGGATCTAAAACAGCAACAACAATAATAAAGTTGTAAATTGTATTGAGGGGTGGATAAAAACTAATAAAGTATATATTATTTGGAAATAATTGAATTAGTGCTGTGTAATATTTGACTTTTAACTGTGTAATATTTGACTTTTAACCTTATCATGCATCAAAATTTCGATTTATGTTCAGACAATCATAACCAAAAAGTCTTCAGTCTTTCTAGAACAACAAGCCTCTAATTAAAGTGCTTTTGTAATAATCCTAATCGTATTACAAAAAACCCACTTGATAATTTTGTATATGACTCAAAACTCAAAAGGGTTTGAAACATATTCAAACAAAGGATTATGGCAACATGTATAAACTAGTATACATGTGAAATACATAATCAATCAAACATATATAACACCAAACTTCAAAACAAAATCAAATGGTTGACCATACATACAAACCAACACATACTTACACTATATAAAGCCCACAAACGACTACCGCAACATAAAAACTACAATCGATAAACACAGCACGAACAGTTTGATGCAGAACGAGTCCCCACTCGAGCAGCTTGACGGCCCCATCCCAATTATTATCACCAATATTTTTCTTCTTATTGTTATCATTATGGCCACCAAGTCCTTCGAATTTCGCATCTTTATCGTCAACCTCTTTACCTTCCGAGTAAAGTGCCAATCGTGCGGCCACTATCAACATGTCGGTCAACAAAAGCGCGTACAAAGGCCGATAGGCTATGAGGCTATTGGACTCGACCACATTATGTGGGAGATTGACGTGAGACAAGACCACGAGGATTGCAATCACAAGTGAACAAATTACGCGCGTGTTCTCAGAGGAGATTATGCTGAAATTGATTTCCTTTGGGGATATCGAGCTAAGATGGTACTCGAAGGGCTTGTATGTATAGTCTGGTCGTACGCCGCTCTGTAGTGATAGTACATTGACCTCTTCTCGGTTGAATTCTTTAGATTCGAGAACTTCATTGTCGATATCGTCGATTTTGGTTTGGCCGGGCACGTTGTCTCCTTCTATATAGCCGAGAGCCGATTAATTAATCAAGTGGAAGAAACATTATTAAAAAAAATGAAAAAAGAAAACAATGCATTCAAAGAAAAAATGAAAAGAAAAACAAATGCATTGATCATTTGTAGAAATAGAATGAATGCAGATTTCACTTGCATAAAAACACAACAAACACCATTATATATATATACTTTCTTTCAAAAAAAATACAAAAAAAATAAATAAAAAATCAACCAATTAACACCGCTAATTCATAATCCTAAAAAAAATAATAATAATAAAAAATCAGTAATTTGGAAGAATTTATTCAAATTCATCTTTTAACTAATATGATATTCAAGTTCAAGCACGCACGTACCATAGGCATAATCTTGAAACGGGGCTCCATCTTCCTCGTTAGGGCTTGAGAATGGTTCTTTGTGTGGGCCGGGTTTGTGGATCCGACCCGATATGAACGCCATCCGACTCGTCTCTTGAGAGGCTATACTTTGACTCCTGATTTCTCTCTCCATCTTTTCTATTTGATCTGTATTTTAGGCAGAGCATTTTTTTTTTCGGACGCAATATGTCTATTTACGTATGTTTCTTTCATGAGTGGTTGAGGCATATTTTCACTATCAAATTTTTATATTTTGGTAATAAAGGAATTTACTTTAAAATAATGCTGTATTTTTACAAGATATTGTTAAATAACTTTTTGATTAATTTTGGATTTATGATAAATACATAGTTTTTCGATTTTAAATGTCAGTTTTTTGTGTTTCATAATTATATATATGCAGCAATATCCATTTTTTTTTTAAAAAAAAAATTATACATGAAGGTAACATAACTAACCAAAACCGAATAGTCAAGTCGAACTGTGAAATTCAGCGCGGTTTCTTTCCATTAGTTTGGTGTAAAAAATTGAATCATTTTTCATAAGTTCAATTTTTTATTTTTGAGTAAATAATAATTTGCAACTTGCTATACGCGAATTTGGGTTTGCAACCTAAAGAATTTTTTGTACTAAATTGCAGCCTTTAATACACGATTTGTCTATATCGCAACCTCCGACCATCGGAGGTTCATTTTTCACCGGAGAAGCAAGCGTGCGACACACACACGCCAAATTTGAGGGCAAAATGTTATTTCATCTCTCTTCATCCTTCTTCTTTCATCCTATCTCTCACACACACTCCCACATACATAGTCAGAATCAAGGCCGCAGGACCGCCATCCGCCGCAGTGTCTGGTAAAAGAAGCCCTATTTTATCACCGGCGAAATCTCAGCAGTGAAATTTGACTTCAATCTGGACATATTTGTCGATATTATTGCCTCAGATATGAAGAAGAAAGCAATCGAATTTTCAAGATGTATTCGAAATTTCTGTTTGCTCTGTTCATCATTTGTCGAAATTATTGCCTCAGATCTGTAGAAGAAAGCAATCGAATTTTCAAGATGTGTTCGAAATTTCTCTTTGCTCTGTTCATCTACTTCCTCGCAGCCCCCATATTTCTGTCCAATAGCATCACTCTCTACGGCGGCGCTTTCTTGAATGCCGCCTCCATCGCCCTGTTAAAGGAGAAGAACTTCACCTTCCTCCCGCTGCCTCCGTTCTTCCCGCCAGCTCCACCGCCTCTATTTCGTGCCTTTACTCTTTCGCCGTCGACAGGTTCATGTTTCTTATCACATCAAAAGGCGCAAATTTCACGGGCCTCTATGATGACTACATGGGCCTCCCGATTGAGAAACCCTATTATCTCGCTGTGGAATTCAATTTTTGATTTGAATGTGTGCGAGAGAGTGAGAGAGAGTGAGAGAGAGAGAGGATGAAAGAAGAAGGAGGAAGAGGGATTAAATGATATTTTTGCCCTCAAATTTGGTGCATGTGTGTCGCACACTCGCTTTTCCGGTGGAAAATGGGTTGTCGATGGCCGGAGGTCGCGATATAGACAAATCGTGTATTAAAGGTTGCAATTTAGTACAAAAAATTCTTTAGGTTGCAAATCTCAAATTCGCGTATAGTACAAGTTGCAAATTATTATTAACTCTTTATTTTTTATCAGTACGGTCTTGCATGAACCAAATTAAATTAAATTAAATATAAATATATAGAAAAATAAACTAAAACCAAAAAGTATAGTCAAATCGTGCAATTTAGTGAAATTTGGTTCGAATTTAATGTAGAAAACTTTTGGATCGATTATTCTAGATTTGGGGTGCAATGTAATTATTTTTTAGGTCATTTTTTTTTTTTCAATTTTGAGTTGCTCACCTATATTCTTGGTTGTCTTCCTATATAACGCATCTGTTCAATTTGAGTAGTGTGTGATTTAAACATACAAAAATACATTGCAATGAAAAAAATACATACAAAAATATATAGTGGTAGGCCTCTCTTATTCGGCTATTGAGCCGGTTGTAATTATGTGTTTGTTTTTTATGAAGTCTATCGTTTGAGAAAAAAAAAAAGACACTAATTACCAACATCCCCCTATATCCCCCTATATATTAATTCAAAACGTGTTGAATCTAAGTAGCAAACTCACACGCTTTGGAATTCTACATGTCACAATATCATGCTTTGCATTTAGGTTTGGATAAAAAATTTGGAAACAAAATTAGCTTGGAAAGTGCCATAAATAATTTTTTCATCATACATTATTGTCTCCCATCAATCTCTCTTTCATTACCAAATTTGTTATCACACAAATCTTTATTTCTTTGTTTTATTTTACTAGGGATTTATCCCATTCATTATATTTTTTTACTTTTTCAAGTTGATAAATTTTAATCCATTTGTTAGTATGTGTCTTGTTTGCGTAATGAATAATGATGGATTAAAATTATATATTATAATTATATAGATAATATAATTAATAAAATCTTAACTAAATATGTCTCTTATCCTAATGATCATACTTTATCTTATTTTTCCAAGTTATAATTTAGCCCATTCATCATTTTTTTTTTCAAGTTGATAAATTTTAAGTAGAACTAAAGAAATTTTTGAGATTTTGAAATAAAATATCAATGTATAGTTGTTTTTGTTTTATGAAACTTCCATTTATTTATTTTGTATATACTCACAATAACTAACCTCTTTTATATTTTTTATTCAAATTATTTTTTCACGCACCCGTGTAGTACATGGTATCTATCATTCCCCTATATTTACTCAGAACGTGCTGAGCCTAAGTGGCAAGCTCGGGGACCATGTGTGGCAAAATTACATGCTTCGTTATTAGGTTTGGGTAGATTTTAGTTTACTTCCAATCCCAAAGTAATTAGGTTCGGTTTATCCATAAATATGTTGATTATTTATGGTCATGTTACATGTATTAATTGCATTTTGATGTCATTTCTTATTATAACCATTGTATTGTAAATGTATTTTGAAAGTTAATAACTTTTGTATTTTTTATTAGTTTTACATATATAATATATCAAATTAATCATCTCTTGATGAACTTCGATTTAACATCCATATTGTATGTATATAAAATAATTTATATTTATCTTTATAACAATAATAAAATTATATTTATCTTTATCAATTAATATATTTATATTTTAATTAGTTATATGATATCTTTATAAAAAATAATATTTATCTTTATCAATTATTATATTTATTTTTCAATTAGTTATATGATATAAGTAATAAAAATTACTATAATATAACACATGTAAGTCGCACAAGTAACAAGTGTCATTCTATTTTTTTTAAAAAGTAAATAAAATTTAAAATAATTTTTTTCATTAATTTAAAAATTTTAAAATAATTTTTTAACAAGCACCCGTGTATACACGGACATTGTACTAGTACTAGTCTAATTGGAAAACGGAGGCCACCTATTTACATTAATTTTAAATTTCGAAAATGATTTGGTATCTATATATTTAACTGGTTTAAGATTTTTTATTTTTATTTTTTTTTTCTCTTTTTATGCAGCTTTCCACAGTCCTCGTAGTCAACAAATACCAAACAAAGATATCATAAATCTAATGGCAAAATCCAATAAAATATATGGTTTGGGGAACATAATTTTGTTGACTAGCTGCAACATTATAGACAATTTATTATAAGACTAAAACAATTTAAGATATTTGTGGGACTGATAATTGATAAAACTAAAATGTAAAACCAGAAATTCACCAATTGGATTAATGTAACATGATCCACATAATTTATAATCAGATTGTTGTTAAAAAATGAGCCAAATGTTTGATCGGTCAACATAATATCTAAAGAAAAAAAGAGTAATGTAAAATGTTATGGTGAAGTGAATAAATTTTTGTCCTAACTAATTCAACCAACATATATAATCAATTCAAATCATATCCATCTTTAGAGATTACCAAATATTAAATATAAAAATCCTAAGAGTAAGTACACACATCTATAAACAACCATGTAACATAATGACAAATTCACATAATAAAAAAATGAAAATAGAGAAAATATTTAGTTCTTTATACACATTGGGGAAAGGACAATACGCAACAATATAATTTTGTGACAAAAACAAAAATTCTCAACAATATTGTTTTCATGGCTTAAAAATCAAGTTTTAATAACATAACGCAACAAAAACATTATTAAAAAATCGCCATAAAAGAATAAGTTCAGCAACAAAAAAATCTTGACAAATAACGAAATCGTGGTAAGTAGATTTAGCAAAATTCGTGCCAAATAATTTTTTTTTCTTCTAAATTTAAGCCACAATATACTTGTAACGATTCAAAATTATTAAAAAAAAAAAATCAACAGTATTTGGCTTTTCCAATGACTTTACAACGTTGAAACTACTTTATTTCTAGTGTGAGAAACATAAAATTTTGTATATTTATTAAATTTTGCTTAAAAGGCAAAGAACTTTTTTATTCTTTTCTATTTTTTGGCCAGTGGAAAATATATTCTTTTTATGTAGAAATTGCAAATTTAATCTCTAAGTTGCTTATGGCTCTTTTAAGCGTGATATGTCGAAGAAGCACAAAATATTTCATTTAGTTTACAAGCTTTTAACTTTGGCGTTGGTTTTATCGGTTGCAACACCTAGCATAGAACGAGTATTTTCCGCAATGAATATTATTAAGAATAGATTGAGCAATCGATGAGTGATGATTGGTTAAATTATAGACTACTAGTTTATGTAGAAAGTGAAACCTTCTTGAAAACTGATAATGATGTTATTATCGAGCGATGTCAAGCCATGAAAACTCGTAAAGAATGACTATGAAAGTATGTCTTTGTATTTGCACTTTTTGTTATGATATTTTATATTTTTTCATTAAATAATTAGACCCACCCTCATTATATTTGTTAGATCCGCCCCTGGGTGATGTGTGGCAGAGTGGGGGTGGATGTGGGGCGGCGATGTGAGGCGGAGCTGGTGGAGTTCCGGCGGCCAGCGTGCTGTCTGTGTTTCTGTATGTGTATATGTGTGTGTCGTGATGTGTGTGCGTGTGTGAGTGTGTGTGGGTGCGTGTGTTTTATGTGTGTGGGGTGCGTGTGTGTTGTGTGTATCAGCGATGACTTGGCATGTGTATAGATGTGGTGGAATGGGTGATGTGAAAAATTACCACAATACGCTTAATGAAGGTATAATTTTGACATTTTTTTAGTCATTAGATCATCCGATGCAATAACTACGGTTTATTTTTATTTATGGCATTAAGAGTCATTCTCACCGAATCTCAACCCTATATATAGATTCTTCCTTTTAAAATTGTGTACTTTCTCTATAACCACAACTCGTGGCTGCAAAATTATGCCAAATCAAATCAAAAGATCACTCAAAGAGTACATCTCGAAAATGAAAATACCCAAATCACAACTCCAGTTCCCAATTCACCGCCGCCGGCGTTCCAAACCGCCGTCATTTTCCGCCACCGAGAGGAACGATAATTGGCCGACGTTTCTGTTCGAGAATTGGGGAAAATCAGAGGAATCGCCCAGAACGGCGGCGTTTCTGCTCAATTCGCCGCCGCCGGAGAACCTCCGCGGCTCCGCCAGGTTCTTCGTCGCCGCCGGCTCCTCGAGCGCGCTGATCGTGGACGACCCGTCGTCATCCTCCTCCTCCGCCTCCTCGTCGTCGACGGACGAATCTCCGCCGGGGAACCTGGAGGCGGATCCTGAAGATTTCATCGCGCTTCTAACGTACTCGCCGAGTCCGTACGACGATTTCCGGCGATCGATGGAGGAGATGGTGGACGCGCGGGTCGGGGACGGCGGGCGCGTGGATTGGGAGTTTCTGGAGGAGCTTTTGTTCTGCTATTTGGATCTCAACAACAGGAAGTCGTACAGGCACATACTGCGTGCCTTCGTCGATCTAATCGTCGTCCTCCGGGAGAACCCCCGGCGGCGGATGATATGAGACGGCGCGTGATATAGATTCAAAATCTAAGTTCTTAGAAAATGGGGAATGATGTTGTTAGATTATCTAAGTATTTTAAAGAGCATTTGACTATAAAATTTATGTATATTTATTAAAAATATGGTTGTATGTTAATCCCAGAAGATTCTTTTACGGGAAAAAAAAAACAAGACAAGTGGTGGACAAAAAAAGAAAAAGAAAAAAGGGGGTGGACAAGAATCAAAAGCCCGTATTTGCTGAATACGGCTTTTGATTTTTTTATTTGTAAAACGTATTCTGTGAATACGGTTTCCTTTGTAAAAAAAATATAAAAAACGTATTCCTTAAATACGTTTTTTAATTAAATTATACAGAAAACGTATTTACGAAATACGTGTTTTCTATGTTGGTCCACTACCCCTTTTTTTTTTTGTTTTTTGTCCACTTATTATTTTTTTATTTTTAAATATATAAACTGCCCTTAATCAGAAAGCCTAACAGAAGACCTATCATATTAAATTAAAAATATAATTAATATTAATATTAAAAATAAACGTATACGGTATACCTATATAAATAAAGACAACTAAACAAATATTTTATTACCCCATAAAATTCATACATATATAAAAAAAAAATTAATTAAACAAAATATACTCGTAATATGGACATTACTGATAATACATTCGGTTGAATGGAATTAATTTGTACCAACAATTGTAGGTAAAGCAGTTGCCATCAAAGGGTGCTATAAATGGGGTAGACGAAGCTAATTTGACATCTTCTATTGCCGGTCTTTAATTTCATAGAGAGACGGATTTTATTTCACTGAAAATTTGATTAAAATAAACAAATTTTAATTCGAGTTATAACTCGTAAGATTATTTTTACAGGCCCAAGACAGATTGGCTCTTTAGCTCAAGATTTGATGCTCTTGTGTAATAAACAATTGGTCGAGATACGCCGAATAGAATACGGCCCATTTTTGTCGGAGCCCAATTTTCTTGGGCCAAGCCCATTTGAACAGCTATAGTTCTTAAGAATACTCTGTGTGCTCAAACTTGAGGTATACCCCTCATGGTCCATCAAATGTGCCTTCTATGTGTTCTGCAAATTAATATAGACATTGAAATTAAGAATGAAGCAATCAATGGACCAGTGTGTGTTTTT